TAGGGGAGGGTGATGTTGGGGCTCCAAGAAACTGAGTCTACAGGATTCTGGAGATGAGGCTATTGATAAGATTGCCTTTTTCTTGTAATTTACTAAGACATCTGTAAAGTGATGGAGACTCAGGTCCCACATGACTGTGATCTCTATCAATTAACCATTGGTTTTTCCCTTTCCTTTGTTCTTGGGCAGCCAGGAGTGCCTGAGGAATGTCACACAAGTCCCACCTGGGGAGGACAGGGGGTTTGCCGGGGTCAGCTTGCCTTACGCTCCCTCAGCATGAAATATTTCGCTGATACTTAACAATTTTTTTAAATGTTTGTTTATTTTTGAGGGAGAGAGAGAGAGACAGAACGTGAGTGGGGAAGGGGCAGAGAGAGAGGGAGACACAGAATCTGAAGCAGGTTCCAGGCTCTGAGCTGTCAGCACAGAGCCCGACGTGGGGCTTAAACTCACGAGCTGTTAGGGTTAGGGTTAGGAGTCGGACACTTAACCGACTGAGCCACCCAGGCACCCCGATATTTTCAAATATTGATTACACGTTGAAATGGTGATAATTTGGATATATTGGGTTAAAGGGAACATATTAACTTCACCTTTTTTTTTTTTTTTTTTTACTTTTTAAAACATGGCTACTAGAAACTTTTAAAATTGCATGTGTAGCTTGCATATTTCTATTGGAAAGTGCTGTTCTAGAAGTCTCAGGGTGACTTCCAGCAATCCTGAGGTAGGTGAGTAGCCAAGATATGAAAGTGTCGCTAGACTGGATTTAACTCATCAGCATCCTCTGGGGAGTCTCCGAAATGGGTGGGTCAGGAAACCACAGTGAAGATTGCCTTTGCTATGGCTTGGGCCACATTAGTTGGGTATAAAACGGAGGACTGACCTCAGAGGGCTGGACCCATGGGTTAAGTCTGGGAGTATAACTAGTGACTTTCATTTTGCAGTGGCTCCTTAAAATGGCATCACCAAAATATCAGTCCAGAATTCCAAGGTGGGGCTGAGGGGTCAGACCTCCTGAGGTATACCCCCAAAGAATTGGGAGTGGCTTCTAGGCCCAGCAAGCAACTAGGTGGGTTTATTTTAGGGCTTCAGAGAGTTTCACGAAGTTTCACGAAGACCGTGTTAGACCATGGCTATGTAGTATGGATTTTTCTACCATGGGTCAAATCACAAATATCTACATGTAACAGTTCCATATAAGAATATGATATTATCTACAGCAGTGGATACTGTTGGTGCCCTGCCAGATTGTCTTCTGGTTATGAGCCCATTCCCCAGCTCCTGTGACTTTGCTGCTCACTGCAGCTGTGATCCCCTTTAGATGATTGCTCATGGACTACTGGTGTCCCCTTGCCCATTTGGAGAGCCAAAGTCCCCATCGCCAGTGACTGCCTGGTGCAGGTGTACAAAACTCTGCCCCCCCTTGGGACGACTCTGAGCTGCCACGTATGTTCCAGAGCTCTTCCTTCAGTGAGCAGGCTGAGGCTACACCTCAGGGCACATTCCTGTTTGGCTTCTTCCCTTTCCTCATCCTGTTTCCTCCACCCCCCTTCCTGGTTTCTCTTGGACGGACTTAATAAATAATAAATCCCAAGTGCTTATTTCAGGGTCTGCTTCTGGGGAACACCACCAGAAAAACATAGCCAGACTTTACTATGGGTATTGGTCTTGACCTTGGGTGGTGGCCATGTAATACATATGCATTGAGTGTGTAGGGGGTTCTAAACTCTTGAGATTTCCTTGCTGAACCCTGACCTTGAGCCCAGAAGAGCAGGGGCTGAGCCCATCAGGACAGGGCCCATGTGTGGACTGCTTCACTCCAGGCTGTGTCCGTGAAACAACAATGAACATCACACCAACACGTGACTTCCCCTCTGATGGTTTATTTTATTGCTATTTATTCAGGCTCTTCCCCAAACATCTTTCGATCTCCATCATGGCCTCTTGTCCAGAAAGTTGAAACCGTGCCCTGCTTCTTGCCCTCTTCACAACACCCCCCCTTCCCTCTTACACAGAATATTTCAAAATAAAGATCGAAACAGGAACTTAGCTGAATTTTGCAACACAGAAGTGTATCCTAGGCCTACATTTAGAGAAAGTGGGGGGCGGGGAAGAGCAGTGAGTCCATGGGGTGGGGGAGGCGTGCACGCGGAAGGCAGTCACACGGGGTGGGAGGCAAACAAGATAATAGGTATCTGAGTCCTGGGGGCTCCAGAATCATCAGAAATTACCGACTTCCCGATGGGAAGCTTTAGAAAAATCTATAACACACACTGTCTCCACATGGGAGGCGTTCACTTCCCCTTAAGGTAGACTAGAAAAAAAATGAAAGAAACCCCAAACCCCACAGTAACCGAACACACACACGCAAACACACACACGACAAACTCTAAGTCTCCAGATCAACTCCTTCAAATAGGCACTCTGGGGTTGCAGATATCTGGGGCTTTGGCCCCAAAAGGCAGGGGGGCACGATAGCTTCTGAAAGCTCTGAGGTCTGATCTGTCAGGTGGTACCGGCCCAGCTGGATGGGAAAGGAAGCTGGTTTGAAAAAGAACCTTCTACCTTTATCTAAAATAGTGACTTACAGGAAGTTCTGTGCCCTGTGCATTTCCTGAATGTAGCAGGTTGGCATTGCTAAAGAGCGCAACACTGAGATGGCAAAAGCTGGCCATTTAGATGTGGGCATTGCATCTGGAGACCTGACTGGCTCCACGAAGCAAGGACGAGGTACAACCTGCTGCTAACCACCGTATCCTCAGAGCCCAGCACTGTGCCGGGCACTTAGTAGGCCTGCAACAAATGCCTGCTGATAGAATGAATGACATAAGCCAAGAAGAAAAATCCTGTTCTCTCAAGAAAACGGATGTATAACCTTTTCATTGGTTATAAACTGGCTCTTTTTAAACTCTCCAAGTGGAATTATACTTTACTTATTCTTCTGACATCAGCTGGCCATACACTTTTTTTTTTTTTTTTTTTTTTTTTTTTTTTAGTTGAAACTGAGTCTTTTTGGTTGGAGCCAGGGAATTAATCTAGTTATGTCCAAATTAGTGGTTGCTCAGCAAATGCACTGGTGAACTTCCACGGGACAGACGGTCCGTCTGAGGCCAGCTGCTGGCCCAGAACTGGCTGTTCGGCTGGAGGCCGGGCCAGGTCCTTACCCGTTGAGTCTAAGATCTGGGGAGGACAGGTGGGTCTTTCACTGTACCCTGGGGGGCAGGGCTGAGCTTGGCTGGTGGTGAAAAAGTCCTTGTCTAGCTGCCTGGAGGGATGGCGTCAGGAATAGGAAGTAGAGGCAGGAGAGGAGGGAGGTCAGGGATTGCCCAGAGACTGGAGAAGCAGGCAGCAGAAGGCTATGGTGGAGGCCAGGTGTCTTCACGCACTGCACTCTTGGGCACAAGGATGCTGGTGTGGGGGGATCAAGCACTTGGGGGAGCCCGTGTCCATCAGAAAGACGAGGTATGAGGAGCATCTTGAAAATGGAGAAGGCTGTTCTGATAAAATCCGCTTCCAGGGAAGGTTCTAAGGTAAACGATTGGACCCTCAGGGAATAGGGAAGCTAGTCAATGGCGTCTACTCTCCAGAGAGAAAGCCAAGGGGATCGGAGCGAGGCAGGGAAGGAATGACTAATTGGAGGCAGCCACCTGGACACCCCAAGAGAGCTGAATTTGAAATGATGTCAGCAGTTCAAGGTATGTCTGGGGGGAGGGGCCCAGGGTCCCTTTCCATGGGATCTAACTTGACCTTCAGGGCATGGCTACCAGAACTGGTGATCCCAGAGCCTCCAGAACCTCCTTCCCTTCTCCCCTCTTTC